TGTTTAGCAGTCTAGGCTAATTTTATACAAATACGCACGAAAATATATCTCGGCTGATAAAAAGCGGAATTTAGCAATTATTTTCTTCGAAATTTGGTTTGTCTACTTCCAAATACAATGGCGCCGAGCATGTGCACATGCACTATACGTCATGCCTTTTGCTTGTGCTCACGCAATCTTCCGTACAAGCTGTTTTATGGAATGCTCATTATTAAAAGCAAGCACCACTAGAACGTTTTTTCTGGTAAGATCCTGATAATTTCCTGGATTTTAGCTCTACGATAAGTCACTACATTTGATAGTGGATTCATATATTACGCACAAGGGTTATTTAGTCATTTAGTGTAGCCTCGAATAAAGTTCGATAGTACCGGAAAATTCAATGCGAGTAACTCCTAGTGCGCAGAACTCCGATCTAGTGGGTGAGAGTGTAAGACAGCACAAACAAAGTGAAAAGAATTTTTCTTCGAAATAGTGGGAAAATTAGAGTATCGGGTTTAACAGGATTGTCAGCAAGCAGTAATTACATAGTAATGCATTTGCGATCGCAGCAAACACGAAAAGTTTGCTAGATGCATTGATGACGCAGCGTAAAGGTATATACGATGAAACCGCAGTTGATCAAAGTAGGTTTACACGCGGACATTCCCTCAAGTTTGCTAAGCCAACAGCCTTTATACGAATTTAAAACTGAGCCCCTTTCTGGTTGCTTTGTTATTCTTGACCAGAAATTTGCCGTAAACGGCGATCGAAAAAACAGCGCTGTCTGCGAATCTTTTCTCCAGCTGATCTAAGTCAAAATCACCTTCACGCTTTGCCGCTCGAATTCTTTCCTGCTGTGATCCGACTACTGTCTTACAGACAAACAATTGTAGTAGAGTTGTAATGAAGCAATGCATAAAAGCTATAAATGCGGCCAGCATGGGCGGACGGAAAGAAGGATCATTTAGCACCAGACCTGACAATTCACAAATTATTTAGCAAAAAATGATATACTTAAGGCCACAATATCGTGTTCAGTTTCACAGTCGCTTGACATTCTTTTTGATTAGTTCTGTTAAGAATAAAAAATGGGTGTAGATCGTTCCGGTGCACGAGTTGTGAAGGGTACTTTTAGGTAAGGCTCCACTGATACGAACAAGTACTGCACGGTGCAGTACGAAACAACTGTGTTGGAGGGGATTCTAAAATCCAATCAAGACCTCCCAGCAAGGCCCGAGAAGATAGTCTCTATAATTTATATTCTGCCGGAGATGGAGCTGATGCGAAAGCCAAGCTGACAGGAAGGAGGGGAAAGGCGACGCTAATCGAAGATATGGAGAAGCAAGCCAGATGACAATTGAGAAGCTTGATGATTGCATCAACTCTGTTTCGTAAATCCCTTTTTTTTCATTTTTTCTCATGAAGAACAGTTCATAAAATTTGCTTGTTGCGGTGATGACGATTGCTTTCGTGCTTGCTAGAGCCATAAGCCTGGCTGAATTCGAAGTCGTCCATGATGCTTCATGATTTGCAAGTTAAATTGATCATTTATTTTAGAAGTATTTCCTCACTTTGCAAATTCACAAAAAAGATGGGACATTTGAGACCGTCGCCAATATCTGAATCTGAAATTGCTGGTGCCAAACAAATTAGGTAAATGGCATTTTGTTTATAAATTGAGCTTAATTCTTTGTTTTTGCTGTAATAACAGGCCATCTAGGTCTTTGACATTTTGGAATAATCATAAATGTATAAGAAACAAAGAAAAGCTAGTACATCTTTATAGGAATGAATGGAATTCATCTCTGATGCTTTGTACTGTGTGAATGCCAAGCAGCGTAAATAAGATAAAAAGTACAGTAAAACTGGTTGGAAGAGATTTGAATTTAGCTAGGGAAGAGAAAGGTGTAAGTCAGAAAGATGCGCAGGAAATGATAACTGCTAAAATATGCTGAAAAAACTAAGCAGTCCAAAGTCATAATTACAAAATGGACGTTGAATAAAAAATTTCAAGTATATATTTTCTCAATTCATTCAGTATAGAGGTTTCTTTAGCTTTTGAGTGCAGCTTAATAACACAGAGGCCTCTGCACCAGCAGTGCAGGAAAATTCATTGAGGTGTGCCAAAATGCCAATCCGCTAGCTGGCAACTGGGTATAAAAATGTTTCTATGAAGAAAACAGGAAAACAGAAACCACGGCAATGAATTATTCGCAGGGAAGCAGTTCCGGGGATACCCGAAATGCTCAACACCGATTTCTATCTGGCAAGGTGGTGGCGTGCTTACGGCGGAGATTTGAATCGTATTAAAAAAAATATGAACGATTTGTTTGAACATCGGCGAGCTCTTGGTTACGACAATATTGAAACTGAGCTACTGCAAACAAAACTGGAAATCAACAGGCTAACATATGAAGTAAATAATTATGTTTGGTTTTTCAAGCTTTCATTACTTTTGTAAAAACGTATTAGAAAAAAAAAA